CCAGCAGAGGGACATTCTGAAATCTCCGGCCATCCACCCAGAGGTTTAGGATCAATGTGCGGTCTATCACCCCGCCGGGGGCGCCATTGTATCCCTTCATGCGGCATTTGAATGGGAGTTCTTGAAACTTCCTATCAAAGAATCTTGCCAATTCTATGGCATATCAGGTATCAATAAAATTCGCTCCATTTGCTCCAGTATCAGCAAGAGAATTTGTAGAAGTAGCAATTCCATTGTAGGCTAATTTGATTGGCACATTAAAGCTTTTCCCCCCAATCAAGTCCTTCATCTCAAACCTCTCACAGACTATTGAACTACCTGAGGTGGAGTCTTCTCTCAGGCTCACTCTTTTCCCGAATCTGCTGAAGGCTCAGGGGCATCATTCCCTGTGAGCTCAGCAATCACCTGCTGGGACTTCTGCTTTGCAGGGCAGTTCCTGGCAATGTGGCCTTTTTCCTTACAGTAGTAGCACTGAATATCCGGACGAGAGCTCAAGGCCTCCTTCACAGTAGGGGATTTTGTTGTAGAGATGCTGGGGGGTGTTTGACTGTTGGCGGTCCGCAGGGTGTTCTGCTTGAAGGTATTAGGCCCATTTCCCCGCGAGCTCTTTGATTTCTGGGTGGCATTGATTGTCTGGAGGGTGTGAGCTGCCTGTGCACAGATTTTCTGAAACTCAGCATATGTATCAGTGGTCGCATTGGCTACTGCTACCATCTTCTGGAGGTCAAAGGACAGCTTGTCATTGAAGTCTGTCTTGTAGTCCCCCCTGGCAATCTTGGCCTCACCTGCCAGGTGTAAGAATTTTGTGACAAATTCATGATAATTGTCCCCATTGCGCATAATCAGCTTGCAATAATCACTCTTGGCATTTTGCAGCTTGTTAGCATCCTCATATATTGACTTGAGGTGCTCAAATATCTCTTCTGCAGTCTGATATCGCTCGGGGTGGTCCTCTTCCATACAGGGCGCAATGTGACGTGCCGCGTCCCCATCAGTCCGGTTTTCGATGTATGCAATCCTCATGCGTTCAGTAGGGTAGTGGTCAGCGTTCTCCTGGAGCTTGTTCTTCATCCGGGAGAGCCAGTGTTCAAATTTTGGCTCCTTGCCGTCAGTGAGGTGTTTTGGGTCATCAATCTTGACAGACCTCCGGGTAGTCTCAGAGGGGGTGACACCTCGACTTGCTGCTTGGTTGCTGACTGTCATGCGGACCAGGGTGTGGCTAAGTTCATCGCGTTCAGCAATTAGCTCATCAATCTGGCTTTGCTTGACAGCGGCCTGGTCAGTGGCGTTGTTCCATTCCATCCTCAGACGTGTGATTGTATCCCTTAGTGTTTTTTCATCGTCAAAGATGCCATCGAAGATCGCCGCCAACTCATTATAAACACGGTCGCTGTCCGAGTGGATTGCCTCTCTGAATTCCTCAATTGAGACGCGTGGTTGGTCAGTTGGTCTTGTTAGGAGGTATCGCCAGTCCTTTCGGCCCCTTCCAGGGGGTTGGGAGCCTGTGGTGGCCATCTGATGTTGGATTGAGCCGTTGTCTTCAACAGTGCTGTTGTCTTAGCAGTTGATCTGACGCGTTGTCAGGCTCTGAACTAGCAGGTTCTAATTCAACTGAGGCACTCAAGTTTTCTGCTGAAACCTGAGTGAGAAGGTAGAAGGGAAGCTTAGTATTGTGTTAGGGAGCGAATGCGAGCTGCATAAGAAGAAAGACTCTCTGCGTTGCTAACTGCTATATAACGAAATACTAAGCTTGATGGGATGAAAGGGGGTGCTGGGGGCCTGCGTGGATTATAACCACCTGCATGGTCGTGTGGTCACGTGATATGGATTAGGCCTAATCGGGCGCCGAGCTTAATCCGACGTCGAGTCTAACCGGGCACCGGCCTTCGGTCGGGCTCGGTCGGACGCTGAGCCTAACATAGAATCTACTAGTGTTCTTGTAGAAATAGCATATTCATTAAAAGCTACTTTGATATGTACAGTAAAAGAATTCTCACTCATTAACTAATTCACATTCAAAGTTTCTAATGTAACTATTTTATCTAAGAAGAAGACTTTTCTCAGATTTAATCTTTTTTTGACATGATGACAGCAGTCTCAGTATTCACTTTCTTCAATTCTATCTCTTGCTTATATAAATAATTTTGAGTTATATAATCTTTGCTTTAACAATTGAAGCATTTTATATTCTTTTTTTAATTCTTATTCTTTAGTTTATTCTCAGTTATCTGTGCTAGTATGATTGAAATTGATTCAAAGTTCTAAAATATGAGAGTTTTCTCATAACTGTTTTAAGTTATTGAAGTTCTTTTACAGCTAGACAGTCTTCAGTTATAGTAACTCAGTATGCTATTAAGATAGTAAGCAGCCTGAGTGCAGATATCTTAAATCTCTTAAAAGATACTGCAATTAATACAGACTGCTGTAATTATAAATTGAAGATTAAAGAAAATCTTATAAAGAAAGTCTGCTTTATAATCTTTCTTATGAATCTGAGTTTTACCAGTCAGGTGTAAAAATTTAATTATAAATATGTAATAGGTATCTTCATTTCTCATTATTAGATATTGATATTTTGTCTTTGCATTTTCAAGCATATTAATATTCTCATATATCTTTTGTAAATACTTAAACACTTTCTCAGCTATTTCAAACTTCTTAGAATGATCTTTCTTCATTCTTAAGATTAAGTGTCTGATAGCTTCATCATCAGTTCAGTTTTCAATATAGATAATATAGCTTTCTTCAGTCAAAAAGTAATCAGTGTTGATGACTAGCTTGTATTTTATTCAAATGATTCAGTTTTCAAATATTGATTCTTTCTCATTAGTGAGATGCTTAGAGTCATCAAGTTTGACTGATTGTCATATCTGTTGATTGTTCATCAGTATGATTTAAGAAACTAAAAAGTTCACTGTTTGCTATAAAGTATTTTATTTCTCTATCAGACTGTTCTCTTGCTGATCAAGTTCACTTACTTGCTTTCTTTGCTCATTTTATTCTATTCTAATTCTTTCTAGAGTGCCTTTTGTCTCATTCATAAGATCAGTAATTTTTTGATATATCCACTCTGAGTATTCTTCAATTGTCTCAAAGAATTGTTCCTTGAATATGAGATCTATTGATCTCATATTCTTCTCAGTCAGAGTTAATATATTTCAGTCTGATCTTTATAAATTGTCAGATTCTCTAACTGCTTTTGACATCTTAGTAGTTTTCTCAAAGGTTTTAAAATAAAAGTAGATAAGAATTCTCAAAGGTTTTTTATCTAAAAACTTACTTTAAAAAGGGCAAGAAAAAAAGATAATCTTAGTATTATATTACAGCTTTAGTTAGGTACAGGTGAACTGATGTTTGATTGCTACTAGATAAGCTATCTGAGTGAATATTAAGATGATTTCTAAAAAATGAGTTTAGGGAAAGCTCTGTTTATGTAGCCCTTTTTCTCTAGTGCCATTGCTAGATGATTGCTACATTTATATGTTATTCATATAGAGATTAATTATGAAGTTGTTTGCTATTGTTTAGGCAATTATTGATTACTGATCACTTTAACCTATATGATGATCAATTGCCTCAGTCTATATGATAACTGATCACCTCAGCCTGTATGATGATCAATCATCTCAGTTTGTGGCAATTACGCTGTTGAGAAAGTTGAATGTAAGCCTGTTCTACGCTATCATATTTCATAAAATGAGAAATCAGTAATATAGTGATTTGATTCTTCATAAAGTGCTGATTCTATTCTTTAAAAAGTACTAATTTTAAAAAATTAATTTTTGAGAAGTATTGATCTGTAGCTTTGATTAAAGTATTTAATTATAATTTCATCTATAAAAATCTTTAAATCAGAGGTGTTAGTATTTCTAGCAAGCATTATAAAAGTTAGAAAACAAAAATTCTATTTTATATTATCAATCTTTATTCTTAGAATCTGACTGTTAGGCTCAGCGCTAGAGGCTAGGTTTATCTCCATCACGTGACCACACCCCACATGTAACCTAGTGGATTGGTCATTATCCAGTCATGTGATCATGTGGGCTGTTTATAATCTGAGCAGACCCTGACATCCCTTTTCCCTCATTAACCTTAGAATTTTATTATATAGCAGTTAGCAACACAGAGAGTTTCCTTCTTATGCAGCTTGCATTTGCTCTCTAACATAATTCTAAGGTTCTTTTCTACTTTTTCATTCAGGGTTTGATGGAAAACTTGAGTATCTCAGTTGAATTAGAACCTGCTAGTTGAGAGCCTGAGAATGTATCAGATCAACTGTTGAAGACAACAGCACTGTCAAAGACAACAGTTCAATTCAACATCAGATGACCACTGCAGGCTCTCAACCCCTTGAAAGAGGTCAAAAGAACTGGTGATACATCCTAACAAGACTAACTGATCAATTATATATCTCAATTAAGAAATTCAGAGAGGCAATTCACTCAGATAGTGACTATATTTATAATGAGTTAGCAGTGATCTTTGATGACATCTTTGACAATGAAAAACTATTGAAGGATACAATCACATGTCTGAGAATGGAATGGAATAATGCTACTAATCAAGTTATTGTCAAACAAAGTCAAATTGATGAGTTAATTACTAAACACAATGAACTTAGTCATACTTTGATCTACATGACAGTCAGCAATCAAACAGCAAGTTAAGATGTCACCCCCTCTGAGACTGCCAGGAGATCTGTTAAGATTGATGATCTGAAATACCTCACTGATAGCAAGGAGTTGAAATTTGAACACTGGCTCTCCTGGATAAAGAACAAGCTCCAAGAGAACACTGATCATTATCCTACTGAACATATGAGAATTGTGTACATTGAAAACTGGACTGATGAGAACATGATATGTCACATTGCACCTCATATGGAAGAGGACCACCCTGAGTGATATCAAACTGTGAAAGAGATATTTGAGCATCTCAAGTCAATATATGAGGATGCTAACAAGCTGCAAAATACTAAGAGTGATTATCACAAGCTGATTATGCGCAATGAGGATAATTATCATAAATTTGTCACAAAATTCTTACATCTAGCAGGTGAGGCCAATATTGTTAAGGGGGACTACAAGACAGACTTCAATAACAAGCTGTCCTTTGACCTTCAGAGGATGGTAGCAGTAGTCAATGCAATTACAAATACATATGCTGAGTTTCAGAAGATTTGTGCTCAGGCAGTTCACATCCTTCAAACAATCAATATTACTCAGAAGTTAAAGAGCTTGCAAAGAAATGAATCTAATACTTTCAAGCAAAACATATTGCAGGCTTTCAATAGTCAAACTTCCTCTGACACCTTTGCAATAAAATCTTCTATTATGAAGAAAATTATGAGTATCTGTCCAGACATTCAGTGCTACTACTGCAAGAAGAAAGGTCATATTGCAAGAAATTATCTCATGAAACAGAAGTCTCAACAGATGATCATTGAGTTCACAGAAAATGATGCTACTAAGTCTTCAGTGAATTTGAGAAAAAAGTGAGTCTGAGAGAAGACTCCACCTCAGGTAGTTCAATAGTCTGTGAGAAGTTTGATATGAAGGACTTGATTGAGGAAAAAAGCTTTAATATACTAATTAAATTAGTCTATAATGAAATTACTACTTCTACAAATTCTCTTGCTGATACTGAAGTGAATGATATGAATTTTATTGATATCTGATATGCTATAGAATTAGTGAGATTCTTCAATAGAAAGTTTCAAGAACTCCCATTTAAATGCTGCATAAAGGGATACAATAATGCCCCTGGTGGGGTGATAGACTGCATATTGATCTTAAACCTCTAGGTGAATGGCTGGAGATTTCAGAATGTTCTCCTGCTGATAATGAATCTAGGTCAGCATCCTGTTATCCTGGGACAAAAGTGGTTGACAGCACAGATATATGACTTGATGTTAAAAATCAATGCCTGGTTTGGCTGAGTGAACAGTTTATCCCTGAACAGGTGGTGGAGCTGATGTTGAAGATAGTATCCTGGTCAATACTGAAGCACTCAGACTCTAAGCCTGAGCATCAGGTAAATGTGGAATAAAAAGAGATCAAACTAAACAAGAAGATCAAACAGAAGCATCAGGCTCAGCTCTGCAGATTGAAAGAGACCAGCTTAGCCATGACACCTAAAACAAAGCAGGGACTAACCTGGGGGGAGACAGCATCATAGATAATGGATATGAACTTCATTGAGGCTGCTTCCTTCTATGGTTATATGAAGAACAAGAACTCAACAGTCTTCATAACCAGTCTGTATGAAATTGATAAACAGCTTGAGGAGAAGTGAAGTTTAGTAGGAGCTGAGGATGAGTCTGATGAGGAGCTGATCTGCAACTTACCAGAATGGTTGAAAGATCAGAAAGACTGTTTCTCAAAGAAAGTGTCAGATGAATTACCCTCTTATGAAAAAACATTGATTTTAAAATAGAGCTCTAGCCTAACATTGACCTCATCCAGAGCATTAGACATGTTCCTTTATATAAAATGAATCTAGAGGAACTAGAGGCAGTGAAGACCTACCTCAAAGTCAATCTAGTGAAGGGCTTCATCACTTCAAGTTCAGCCCCCTATACCTCTTCAATTCTGATTGCCTGTAGTGGGAAGAAGTTATAATTCTGTGTTGATTTTTGCAAGCTAAATGCTATAATCAAATGAGATCAGTATCTCTTACCTCTAATAGATGAGCTGATGGACTGACTCAACAGGGCAAAGCACTTTACAAAGCTGGACATTCAGCAGGGGTTCTATCACATTTGAATGAACCTTGAGTCTGAGGACCTAACCACCTTTAGAACCTGCTACAAGACTTATAAATATCAGGTAGTCCCCTTTGATCTTATGAATACCCCTGTCTGCTTTCAATGGTTTATTAACAGTATCTTTTTTGATTATCTAGACAAGTTTATGATAGTATTTATGAATGATCTTCTAATCTATAGTAAGATTCTGGAGAAGCACAAGCAGCAGATAAATTCAGTGCTAGACTGACTAAAGGCAGCTGGTTTGCAAGCCAGCATTCAGAAATATGAGTTCACAGTCCAGAGAACAAAATATCTAGAATTCATCATCAGCACAGAAGAAATTGAGGCAGACTCAGAAAAGACAGCTGCTATTGTGAGATAGCAAGTCCTCATCACAGTTAAAAGAGTTCAGTCATTTCTAGAATTTGGCAATTTCTACTGACAATTCATAAGAAACTACAGCTAAATTGCAAAACCACTGTACCAGTTGATGAAGAAGACTATCTCATTTGTGTGAACATCAGAATGCAAATCAGTCTTTGAAAAACTGAAGAGACAGCTGATGGAGACTCTAATACTGCATTACTATGACTCTGAGCAAGAGACTCATATTGAAACTGACATCTCTGATGGAGTAGTGGCTGAGATACTAAGTTAAAGATTTGAAAATGACCTTTGACACTCAGTAGTCTTCTATTCAAAGTCAATGAATAGCACAGAGCTTAATTATGAAGTTCATGATAAGAAAATGCTGGCAATGATCTGAGTTTTATAAGAATGATGAGCAGAACTTGAGAGACTACAATGAGAGAAATGATTCAAGATCCTCACTGATCATTATGCACTGAAATACTTCATAACTATCAAGAAGCTGAATATATGTCAAGCCCACTGGGCAGAGTTCCTTTCTCATTTCTACTTTGAGATCAAGTATCAACCAGGCAAGGCCAAGTTGCTAGCAGACACATTGAGCAGGTCTGAGCAGATTAGAAGACAACAGGACAGCTGTATGCAGATTCTCCTAGAACCAGAGACTCTTGACCTCTAGATCACTCTCTCTATGAATATTGCTAGCATCAACTCCTCAGAGGAAGAGAACATTGCTAAATACATAGTATCTTTAAATAAAACAGTCATCTCAATTAAGCCTCTGTAGCAGCAGGCATATGATGAGAAAAGTCCCTATACAATGAAAGACAATGTGCTACAGTACAATAAAAGACTAGTGATATCTGTTCAGAAAAAGAAAACTCTGATAGCTAAGCTACTGCAGAAAATTCATAATTAAGCTTCAATAGCATACCCTGGAGGATGAAAGACTATGACCCTAGTGTAATCATATTATTGATAAGCCACCTGGTGGACAGATGTCCTACACTATATTCAGAACTACTATGTGTGCCAGATTAGTAAAATTTCAAGAGATAAAACTTCTGATTTGTTAAAGTCATTATCAATACCAGAACAGACATCACAGTATATTACAATGGACTTCATGAATATGCTGAAAAGCAAAACAGGTTATGATATCATTTTGATTATAGTATACTGACTAAGCAAGAAGACAATCTTCATTTCAATCACTCAGAAAGTTACAGCCCAGGAGCTAGTCTGACTATTTATTCAATTCTATTATTCATACAATGAGGCGCCTGACTCAATTGTCTCTGACTGAAGCTCTCAGTTTATATCAAGCTTTTGAGATGAGTTTATACAGATTCTGGGCATAAAACTAAAACTCTCAACAACACATTACACATAAACTGATGAACAGACAGAAGTGATGAATCAATACATTATTATCTGTCTACACTTATATGTCAGTCACTATCAAGATAACTGAGATGAGTGACTGCTCATTATAGATCACATCTCCACAGCTATCTCAAATACTTCTATAGAAATCTCTCTCTTCCTCACAGCAAATGAATATGAACTCTAAATATCATTTGACTGGCAATCACTGGTGGAGAAATTGAACATGAATGAAAAAAAAATTGAAAAGCAGCAAGGAGCTTCATTCACTGAATGAGAGAGATCTGAAATCAGGCAAGTAAAGACATAAGAACAGCACAGAAACAGATGAAGAGGCAGACTGACAAGCATCATCAAGAGTCTGACTTTGTAGTAGAAGATTTTATTTATCTAATATTGAAATCATATAAGATAAATTGATCACACTGTAAACTGGCAGAGCAGAATGTCAGCCCCTTCAAAATCCTGAAAAAGATAAACAATGCTTACAAACTGAACCCCTCTGCAACAATGAAGATTCATTCAATCTTCTTCTCAGACAAGTTATACAAGGATTTCAGAGATTCTCTACCTGGTCAGACTATCAGACCACCAGACCCAATTGAAATAGACAGTGAGAATGAATGGGAAATAGATTGTATACTGACCAGTTGAATAAGCCAGAGCAAGCTGCAGTATCAGATGCACTGAAAGAAGTTTGACAAAAATTTTTCATGATATCTTGTCCACAACTTCAAGAGATCATCATATACAATACAGGATTTTCATGAGGCCAACCCTACTAAAGCTGGACCACCAAAACACCTAGATGAATGAGTAAGAGCATGGGAGACAGGCAGCTATCTGAAAAATGAAGATGATGACAATCTTCCAGCATGAGGGCATGCCTGTTTCTAGATCAGGGGGTTATGTTAGACTCAGCGCTAGGGGCTAGGTTTATCTCCATCACGTGACAACACCCACATGTAACCTAGGGGATCAGTTGTGATCCAGTCATGTGATCATGTGGGCTGTTTATAATCTGAGCAGACCCTGACATCTTTTTTCCCTCACCAACCTTAGAATTTTGTTACATAGCTGTTAGCAACACAGAGAGTTTCCTTCTTATGCAGCTCGCATTCACTTTCTAAAACTGGCTAGTAAGCTTCTCAAGAGTTAAATATATAAAAATAATATTTAATTTGCTCAAAATATTTCAAAATTATATAAAATTAAACTGAATAAATAGAATCATCTCTTACATTATTTCTTTAATAATGATCAATCTAGCTAAATTTATAAATTCTCATATAGATAAAAGCTTTTAAAAGATCTTTATTTTCTCTGAAGTAGTCTTTTTCTATTAATATTGTTGAATAGTAGTCTTTAATTTCTTAAATGTTTTTATAAATATAAAGAGTTTTATAAAAGCTTTTATAAAGACTTTCTTTTTCTTATTCTTTTTTTATTCTTCTCAAAGGTCTCTGAAGCTTTATTATCAATATCTTCATCATCTCTCTTTAATTTTTCATATAAATTAGTTGAATTAACAATATTGTGAATAGAATCTTTAAAAAAAAATAAGATAAATAAGATATAGAAATTTTGAACATCAATATCTGATGAAATATGAAGATTTGACAGCTGTGAACTAGGTTTTAGAGGAAGAAATTTGACTGATTCTAAAGATGGTATCTCTGCAATGATTTTCTCAATTGCTTGTTTTCACTTTATAAAGATTCTACCAGACTTTTTCATAGATTCTAGAGAATGAATATATTAGTTATTTGATGTATAGATTAAGATCAGAATTCTAGAAAATCACCTGGATTCCCTGTAGATTCCATATTTGCAGGTGAGTAGGACTCCATGGTAGGCATGTAGGTAGGTTTGAATTCTCAACGTGTTTTCTGTTTACATGAAAATCGTGAATGTGTGAATTTGTAGTGACCAATAGGAGCCCATACAAAATAGTATGTGAACCTATTGGTTGAGACATGCTGACAAATGCCTTTATTTTACGCCTAGTGATACCACGCTAATTGTGCAACAAAAGATGGACGAGGGGATACGTTAACTTTTATATGATACTCAGGCTCTGCCTTTGCACGATTGAAGCAGCGCTATTAGAGCAGCACTATCAAGGAAGCGCCTCCACCACCGAGACCTTCGTACGATGCCTCCACCTTATTCATAAACTACTGAGGCGGCGCCTCTACCACTGAGACAATGTCTAAATCATCACTGTATAAATCCGTAACTTCTGAAGCTCCGCCTTTATGCGTCTACTACTGAGATGGTGCCTCAATCATCCTTATGTAAAGCCCCTTACTACTGAAGCCCTGCTCTTTAAAAAGGAAAGTCTGATCTCTATATGATTTATCTTTCCTTTTCCTTCTTAATGATTTCTTTTTGTTTTCATATATGTTAGTTATCAGCTATTCCCAGCGACTAGCCTGTTATATATATATATATAATAAATATAATTTAAGTTTAATATAATTAAAAAAAATAATTAACATTTTTTTTATAGAAAAGTAATATTAAAATATATTTACTGTAAATAAAAAAAATATTTGAAAATGCAAAAAATCTATTGTAGAATTCAACATAAAGTTAACTAGAAGAAAAGACTTTGAACTTTTTCATCTGCTGAGTTTGTTGAACAGCTCATTATTCAATTCTCTCTCTGCACCTCCTTGCCAGCAAAGGTTAGTTCACATATACAAGCACTGCGGAGGTGCAGCAATTGCAATATGATCAAATGAGAACTGTCAGGCCTATCCGCCTTCTTATGTAATCCGCACCGTATATAACTTCCGCGTAGCTAGCGATCGCTACATAATCAATCAAGCAATCTATCCTTCACAAGAACAATATGCCCTAATTGTAGTATTATTTATTTTAATTTAAATAGTGGTTGGGTGTAGATATTTCAAGTTAAACCTATATATGCTATTTTTATTCCGGCGGCCAGCTTAGAGATGAATTAATAATAAAAGATTCTATTGTAAGGAGTTATGATTGAAAAATTCAACGATCAGTTCAAGGTTTTTTTTTTTTTTTTTTTTTTTTTTTTTTTGTGTGTGTGTGTGTGTGTGTGTGTGTGCTTCTGCTTGATAAGGAGTAACTATACAGTGTTGTGCCATATTAATTCGTACAGCATTCTGGTCTCTGTAAAAATTATCTTTCAATAGGGGTAGTAAAAACTCATAGTCTGGGCTGGCAGGTTCCTGTTCCTGTTGCAAAGGATGCACAAATTCCCGGCATGACCGGTGTTATCAGGCAGAAAATATTATTTGGTTTACTCGCCGTATCTGTCTGCATTTTTGAAACAAACCGATAGTGTCAAATCACTCAAATCAAATATAGACATTGGTGCATCTCTCATAAAGACTTGATCATGTTCTCTTTGGCTACATCAAAATTGCCAGTCAAGTTATGAAGTAGTGGGCCACAGGTCCGCGGATAAATTGGAATTCTCAATTGGTCTCAAGGAGCAAAGTCAAGAGCACAATAGAGACTATTCTTATAATCTCTGATTGGGGTTATTTCATGTTTGAATTTTGCGGTTGAATTTCTGCAAAATCTTATCTCTACCTCTACCTTGGCAGATTTAAGAGGATTTTCTTATTGCAAGAGAAAGGGGAGAAAATAACAACACCTGAACCCAGGCCTTCCCTGAGAATCAAGTTTCAATTGCTCAACCCTGCGGACTTGTGTTTTGGTGATCATGCTTTAAATAACTAGATACCTGTTGCTATGCCAAGAAGTCGGAAGGCGAAAATCGGGGAAGGTTTTTTGAATCTGAAAACAGTAGAGGAACAACAAACCGCGATGTGTCACTTTCAACATCAACCTTCAAACCGACATATATCCTTATGGGTTTTTATCCCCCCATATAGTTGCCAGTTCATGTTAGACTAGGCCAATTTATGGACTGCAGGGATGGGACTTTATTTCTAAACAACATCTTCCTGAGCATAAATAAATATATTTTGCGGGAATGACGCGAGAGACGACATCCGTGCCACCCCAATTCGCAAAGCCAATCCTCCAATACACAAGGACTCGACAGGAGGCTCTTCATATTCGAAGAGCCTTGACTCTGTATTTGAAGGCGCAAATTGAGTTTTCTGATGACTCTCACGTATCTCACATCACTCTTTGCGTTCCACACAATGCTACCAATGTGAAGCGTATCCCACCAGAGTTGAAAAATGGACTACGCGCGCAATACCTCCAGGCGTTGCAGGCCAACATAGCTGCGAAAAGAGAATACAATCAGGTGCTTCTGGAAATTGCGGCTCAGACGAAAGTCATGTATTCCCCGTCAACTGGTTCTGGTAGTGAGGAATCTAGCAACAAGGGTGGAGAGCTGCAAGCCTACCTGGGATTGCTCCGAAGCCGGCGCGATCATGGGAAGATACTGATTTTCCAACATTACCTGGAGAAACTGAACAAAATGGAGGCTGGACAAGCTGGTTATCTTGGACTTGGTGATGAGCAAGCTTTATCTCGCCAAGCTGCTGAGAGCTCGGCTGTCTCGGCTACCTTAACCTCGATGGGCCATAACGGCTGTGGCACGGATGTTGAAGCTCTTTTTTATAGATTGGAACGGGCGGTGCTGCGTGCGAAGAATCAAGCAGATATGGAGAAGAAACTGTTCGAAAAGCTAAAGTACCAACACGCTTTTGAAGATGAGAAACCCGTCCCACCAGGGAAAAAGCTGGAAGCTTTGCGATGGACTCATACGGAATTGGTACGTTGGGTTGAAGAGAAGCTAGTTGAGTCTTCGCCAATTGATGACCAGGGCCCGATTGAAGACGAAGCCGTGATTGATGCATCTGACGCCGAAACAATTCAAGTCTTGGAAGAGACTAAATCCCAGATCCAAGAACAGTATGCCGCCTATGTTAGAGCTCGAAAGGCTTTGCTAGCGGCCGTATCTACAGCATCCCAGCCCCTTTCTGTCGGTTTCCAGACACTACAGCGCCGTCTTGAACCTCGTGAGAAGCAGCAGAATACCCCTATGCCGGACCTTGCTTTACTGTTCTCATTCGTATCGGAGCATCTATTGCCCTTGTCGAAGGCCCAGAAAGCCCCATCGATGCAGAAATCCCATCTATCTGCTATCCTTGCCAAGGAGAAATGGACTACCTGCCGAATGCTGGATCGACTGCAGGATGAGAGTCATCTACTTCCAGAATATCCTATCCTCACAAGACAGCCGCGCTTTAAACATGCCGTTGCAGCTATAAACCGCCTGCCATCTCTGCTTTCCAGCCCAACCAACCCGAACGAGACGTCAGAGATAGTTACTCATGCGGAAGCCTGGGCATTTGCTGCTAAGGAAGCACGGGATATGACGAGAGCATATATTCAGGAGAGGACGAACATTGCGACAGAATTGGCCCGAAATGCGGAGGATACGTTGAAGGAGATGTACGAGCTTATGAACCAGGACTTTGAGGAAGCAACTGCTAGCAAGGCAAAAGACAAGGAGGAGGATGGGGATATCTGGACTTCGGAAAGCCGGTTTGCTAGAAATAGAGGGAGACAGGCACGATCGGAGAAACGGCCTAAGGGTCCTTGGTCTGGGTTGAATGGGAGAGTTTGTGCCATAGGGGATGAGTAAGGATAATTTGAATTACGAATCCATTGCTAGATGTGGGGAGCTGCGTTGTAGGCTTCGGCAAATACATAAATTTCCCATGTCAGTCAAAAACCTGGACGGTTTGTTTGTTAACTGCATTTACTGTGCTGGGGAGCTTTTGGTTACCAGCATCGACAGGCCAGGGCTGGCTAAGCATAAATTTTTAGAGCAAGAGCCCCAATCAAGCAAAAGATAGAATAATACGATCGTAATAATTCTTTATTTTAACTACCTCTAAATAAGTGTTCCATATATGAACACAGGATTCTATACAAATATATAACTGTATCCTGGGAATAGAATAAAAATTGTATCTCTTTTCTTGATGCTTCGCTCTACGATAATGAGTCATGGCGCTAACAAATAAATCGCCGCCTGGACCCAACGAATAAAAATTCACAGCGGCCAAAAAAAAAAAAAAATGAAAATGAAAATGAAAAGTTGAAAAAAACTCAACCAACCCTTTACAAAACATTCCTCCCCCCATATTCACCGTCAATTAACTGCTCTTCCACAATTCCTCATCTGTCTCCCACGCTCTCTTGAAAATCACTTCCCCTCCATTCCCTTCTTTTCCAAACAAACCCTCCACATCCTCCTTTCACCGCTGCGCCAGGTGCAGGGCTCCCAATGGCTCTCTCAGCCCGATGCGGGCAGCGGATGGTCTCCTCCTTGCTTCGACAGCGATGTTTTGCCTCTGCAATCTGTCTCCCATCCCTTCGCACTTTTTCTACCGTTCACACTCTCCCTTCGTCAAAGACAATACTACCTTCCCAAACGTTACTGCAAAAACCACAGCAGCTGCCGTCATGGCGGAGTCCCAAGCGGTCGTTCTCGAGCTCGCTGAGGAATCTGGCTGCGGTTACGGGTCAGGAAGCCCCCAGCGCAAAGGCTTATATGGGTAGCAAAGCCATTAAGGGCGCAGGCCAATTGGTTGATGTGACAAAAGTGCTGGTTATTGGGAGTGGTGGGTTGAGTATTGGCCAGGCGGGGGAATTTGATTATTCTGGTATGTCTCTTTGTTTGTGAAGTGGTGCGGAGAGGACCTCAGGGATGAGAGGAGCTGGGGAGGGGATGGCTGGGGCAAATATCCATAATGTGTGCGCTAGACAGTTGAGCTTTGGAGTGGTTTTGATGCATTGTGGGTTGGCCCTGTTGCATGATTTCATTGGGAATATGGGGGCTTCGCGAAAATTTGACTATAAGGCTCAATTG